ATACCTGTTTTAAATTGAAACACAAGAAGAAAACAAAGTGAACTTATTGCCATTCATCTGCATTAGAAAAAAAATAAGGAAACGAAGTGAACTAATTGTAATTAATCTGAATCAGAAGAATGCTTACTCCTTTTCTTTCTTTGTTTACTTTTGTGTTTCTTTGATTTCTTGGAATGTTTCTTTTTCTTTTCACTGCGTGAGTCGCTATCATCGTGTTTCCTTTTCATTGATCTCTTGCGATGGCTGCTGGGTTCACTCGAATCGTCATCACTGTCTGAAGAATCAGAGGAATCTGATGAACTAGAACTTCTAGACCTTGATCTTGATCGATCCTTCTTCTTCTTCACTTTCTTCGATTTCTTTGCTTTCTTTTTCTTCTTCTTCTCTTTAATTTTGGCAAGGGCTGATTTAAGCTCTTCTTCACGCAATTTTGTTAATGGAGTTTCATAGTCTAAATCACTCTCACTACTGGTGCTGCTAACATCAAGAACAACTTCTTTACTGGGGTCAATCTAGAAAGAGATGAAAATAGTATGTAAGGAAAGAAACTCAGGAACGCAAAATGTACATTTAAAAATTAATACTACAGCAAACAACTTACTTTTATAAAATTTCTGCACTGAAATGTCAAGTGACCAGCATAGCCGCACTTTTTGCAAGCAGGACGAAGAGTTTCTTTGCCAGCGGGTACAATACGAGCTAACATATCAGGATCCATTTGAACAGCTTTACTCAAATGCACTAAAGCTAGAAAAACAACACAATTATTTCGAAGGTTAAGAGTTCCAATATGTACTTGTTAGCTTTGTCAAGGCTTTGTCCTGTAAGACAAACTTACCTAATGGAGGAAAAAAATTGCCCGCACGAATCAAGACGAAAGTAAATTGCGGTTCATTGGTTTTGTCTAAAAGCTTGTCAAAAACCAGGAAAGTTCGGACGTTTAAGGTACAGCCTGCAAAGCACGTAAAACGTAAAGTTGGTAGAAGTGATCAATGCCAACGCCTTCTGGAAAAACATATAGGAGCAAGCGCCAAGCCTGTAGCCAACGGTGGTGGTTTGTTGTTTACATATTTGAGTAGCGTCTTGTAATCGTAAATTTAATCTTTTAGCATCATGAAACTCGTAAGGTAAATGGAAGAAATATTCATTTTCTTGAAATCTACAATATTTGTGTTATCGTTCCGTACACTTGTTCCACTATATCACAGCTGAAATGTTTTGCATTGGATTGTGTTTAAGCCGGCTTTCGAAGTCCTCTTGACCGGCTTTAGAATACTGTTGTGAACATAATTATGAGTGTTCGTGCTACAAAAAATAGCAATTTTAATCAGGTTTATCTGCATACTTTTCTTAATATTCGTCGGCTTTTAAATTGTCTTACATTTATGAGACAACAATCATTATTTCTGTTAACCTTGAGAGGTTAGGTATCATCGTTGAAAACCGCTCTCATTCTTTGAAAAGCTAATTACTCTTTGTGAATCATCTTTTACGGTTCACCACCTTTCTAATTGTGCTCACTAGTCATCTGTTATGTTAGTCATATTTTTTTTGTTCCGTGAGGTTAAGAGTCTGATTTTGATGGTTGGAATTGATTGTGTTGCAGATTTTTGATGAAACTTAGTCATGAAACTGTCACTATTGAGCTCAAAAACGGAACACAGGTCCATGGGACTATTACAGGTAATGTCCACTTATTCTTATGACTGCTTATGACTGCTTCCATCATACACTTAATGACTAAATTTCCCATTACATTCTCAGGAGTTGATGTAGCTATGAACACACATCTGAAGGCTGTCAAAATGACTATAAAGAATCGTGATCCGGTTCAATTGGAGACCTTAAGTATTCGTGGCAACAACATCCGCTACTATATTTTACCAGACTCACTTCCTCTGGAAACACTACTGATTGATGATACTCCCAAAGGGAAAGCACGGAAGAAGGAGGCTGCACGCAGTAAGTTTAATCAAGTCCTTGTATATTCATTTAATGCATTATTCACGGATTACGTTCATTGAATTTTATTTTATTTTCAGCTGGTGGTGCTACTCGCGGAAGGGGTCGTGGAAGAGGTGGACGAGGCAGAGGCCCTCGAGGACGAGGCAGAGGGATGGGCCGCCGGTAGATCTTTTAGAGCAACCTTCATGTTCATCTGTGATTTTTTGGAGAAAATGTTCACTTGGATCTTGACTTGCGTTTTATGCAAGAGCAGAGTTTAAGTATGTGTGAAAGATCAAGAAGGAATGCTTTCTTGTTTCAATTTCTGTTATTCTAATTCTGAGTACCCTGTGCTGAGTTTGTCCACTCAGCAGATCATTTTCCCAGCCCATTTCATTAATTTTGTATTAACAATGATAATAATATTCAGTTTTGTCAGCTTACTTACATGAGAATCATTTTTGAATCATCTGATTCGCAGCTGGCTGAAATGAGTCCAGGCATTCCAAGATCTCCTATAATAGTCCACTAAATCAACTGAGAATTGCCGTTGGATATTCATTTAGCATTTTATTTATCATCTTTATTTGTAGACATTGCCGAAATCTGTGGGAAATTTATTTCCAAACTGTTCCTTTGCAGATAAGGTGTGATTTAAATAATGGTGTAATAAATAGTGGTGAATAAGCAAGTATCTTTTTTTCCCTTTTCCTATTTTGTATTCATTCAGTTATCACAGTTTTCTGTTGTTTACAAATTTATAGCACACTCTGTCCTGTTGAAGAGTTTCCATTATTGAAAAGTAGGTGTGCTGAGGTGACTGATTCTGATTTCTCCTTTTCCTTGTAACTCTGTCTGTTAAAACATCTGCAGCTCTTTCAGCAAGGGCTACAACAGCTGCATTTATATTTGCGCTGGGTAAAGATGGCATTACAGATGCATCCACTACATACAAATTCGAGGTTCCATGCACCCTGCAATGAAAGATTATTTGCAGTAAGTTTCAAGAACAGGGAAACTACCACTTCCGGTGGGCAGGTAAAACAACAAACAAACTTTTACCGAAATGATCTGTCCACCACAGCTGTCTTTTCAGGCCCCATTCGGCAGGTTCCTGCTGGGTGGTAAACTGTGTATGTAAGCATCCGAACATAGCACAACCAGTAGTCATGACTATCAAATTCATGCGTCTCACACCCTGGCATAGGTTTAGGATTAAGATGAGCCCCTAGTTTTGCCATTGCTTCAGTTTTAATTAACTTTTTAACAGCATAGATTCCTGAAAGGTTTTCATGTATGAAAGAACAGTTCTACTTCAGGGGTAATCTGTAATAAAATTACATAGAACTCAAAGTTACCTTCAACCAAAGTTTCAACATCTCTTGGATCTGACAGATACTTTGGGTTGATAAGTGGAGAGTCAAATGGATCCGCAGATTGTAGTTTAAGTTCCCCATGACTCCACGGATGGAGCAATATTACTAGAATAGTTATGCCAATGGCTTTATAATTATCAGTCTTGTGAGAAAAATATTGGTTCCATACCTAGAGAGTTGTATACACAAAAAAGAAATATTTAGGATTAACTAAAAATGGCATGTGTGAAAAAGAAAAAAAATATCCACCATGTCTAGAAATAGAATGGTACCTTATCTTGCAAACCCATATTGTGGCGCAAAAGTGACCCATCATCGAATGACTGACCAGCAGGTAAAACCAAGAGCTGAATATCTGGGGGATCTTCATTGGGGTCAGAGAAGCGAGTATATAGCAATCCGGTTACTTCACATCCTCCATGAGTTAATGGACCTAAAACAATCAAAATAGTTGCCCTTAACTAATTGACAAGTTCGGAAGTGATAGGTCTGAGATCTTCTCTCGCTTAAGATGAAAAGAATACTAATACTGGAAAATCAGTCACCTTTTCCTTTGAAGACATAGTCCCAAAAGGACGAGGGATGAACTAAATTGGAAAGACTGAGGGCTAGCGAGGCATTCAGTAGAACAAGATCACTTCCTGTTGAGGCATGATCTTGAAGGTTTTTACCCACATAAGGAGAGGAAATTTTCACGGGAATCTACAAAATAGAAGGAAGCTGTAAGATTTGGGCGATTTTAGAAAATTAAAATAATAAATTGTTAAAATTGACTAACACCAATCTCAGAGAGGTGATCAGCTGGCCCTATACCAGATTGTAGAAGAATTTTAGGAGATCCAATAGCACCAGCAGAGAGAATCACACCATGCCTACATTCAGCATGGTGTTGACCATCAGCATTATAAAACACTACTCCCTTGACTTCATTGTGTTGATCTACAACAACCTGTATAAGAAAATAAGAGATACAAGGACATCAAATGCCGCAATTTGTAAAAATAACAGCTTCATGACAAGGGTTATTGTGGGTGGTGATTCACGCTTAAGTATATGACCACAATGTGGCCAATTTCAAAACAGTGTGAAAGGAACCTTACCTGACTAACATGAGAATTTGTTCTCACATGAAGATTAGGCAATTTTCCAGCATAAAGAAATGCAGCATCAGCAGAGAAGCGAGCACCGTTCAATGTATTTGTTTGTACTTCCATAAAGCCAGCATGGGACATGGTGTTCAGATCTCCAACAAAGTATCCTAATTCCTTTGCTGCATTTAATACTGCATCAGACAGTTCTGATTTCATGGGCATATCAGACACAGGCAACCACCCATCAGAATTATGGTAAGAGGCTTAAAATACAATGAACAACTTTAGAAAAGTGTAATTTAAAAGTATCATTTTTTCTTTTTTAATTAGGCCAAACTCACAATCATTTTTGTAGCAACCTAACTGGAGCTCTGATTTTTTAAAATAGTGTAACATACTAGCTTGAGAGTATTCCCAACTTTTCCAGTCTTTTTCATGTCCTCTCAGGTATACCATGTTGTTCAAGCGGCCAGATCCACCCAACACTCGACCTCGTGGCCACAAACTCACCTGAAAAATAAATTGGATTATAAGAATTTAGCTGTATTAGAGTTATTTGAACAGGTTATTTTTTTTTTTAATGTTCCTCACTCTGTTATTGAAAGCTCCGCATGAGTGTGTTTGGGACACAGTGGAATAGGACCAATCCAAATCAGTTCGCTGCCAAAGTGGCCCAAAGATAGGGATGTCAACAGTTCCCAAGGTGGCCCACCATGGAGGAGGGCCTCCTGCTTCCAATAATAAAATATTAAAACCATTTTGCGCTAATCTACCAGCTACTGTGGATCCTGCTGAACCTCCTCCGACTGTAATTAATACATTTAGAACAATTTTAACAATTTCAGGGAAATAATCTGAAGTAAAAACAGAGAATGAATGAAATACTGACCAACAATGTAGTCATACAAAACATTACTCTCACTTCTTTTGAGGGAAAACCGCTCTAAGATGAAATTACTCCAGGTCGATATGGATATAAGAATGCTCAAAACCAGAGCCCCAAGCCTGAATACCAGACCAAGCAGCAACATTATGCTCAGTAAGAGCTCTTCTGCTAAAAGTACGAACGGAGCTACTACTTGACAGTAAAGCGTTATGGAGATAAAGCCTCTTTAGCATTGACATTCTAACCCCGGATGTAGCTGCTGCAGACCATTTTGCACATATGCCCGACCTTGCAACGATGCGACAATGATAAGAAGAGGGCAAAGGAGGCCATTATCTTAGAACCGGCAGAATACGGGCAAAGAGGGAAATGAAGGAACAGCTTTACAGCATCATGTACAGAAAGAATGGGATGTATGATTAAAGCGCCCAGCGTCAACTGTCAACTTGACTTGCACCAGCTGGTCTGGTACTACGGCGGCACGCACGGGCGCGCCGGGCGCCGGCGCGGGAGAATGAGGGGAGGGGGAGGGGAGTCAACAACATCAACAACCAATCGACCAGCGCACCAGTGGACCATGTGCCTCGTTTGTCAGCGAAAGAATAGTGATTTCTTACTGTTTTAGTTTTAGTCCGGAACCGAAATGTTTACTAAATCGAAGCTTAAAGAAGTGTTCGTATTATGACAATTTTTAATTTCACTTGTTATTACTTATTAAGTGTTATTTTTATGTAAACTATGCAATACATAACCTAAACTTTGTTTCAAATATTGTTAACACTCTTTCCTCTTGACATTGTAGATTTGAAGTAGAAAGCAAGTTTGGGGCTATTTTTACCGGTGGCTCAGTGCAGGTGAACACTCTGTTATCATTTTTTGTCTCTTACATTTTTTTCTCTTTTCTTCAAAATGTTATTATTAATTTTCAACTAACATTATATTTTCTCCAAATTTTCCAGTGGACCTCGGACGGCAAACTTCTTTTTTGTCAGTGTGGATCATCAATCAATCTATTAGATGTTGATTCTGGACAAATTGCTGGATCTCTTGGGTGCACAGACGATGATGATATTACTGCTTCCGATGACATTGTGACGTCATTTGCCCTGAGTGCTGATGACCAACATGTAGTCTCGAGCCACAAAAGTGGTCTATTCCGACTGTGGCACATCCCTGGTATAAATTGCCCAATCTTGTACATTTTATTTTACTTTTTAATCTTTTAGTGCCAGCTGTAATGTTAATTTCCCTTAAATGCCTTCTCTCTTTCTAGAAAGAAAAGTAATAAAATTATGGAAAAGTGTACATAAAGGTCCTGTTGCCAAACTTGCATTGACAGCCAGTGGTACACTGTTAGCCAGTGGAGGTTCAGACTCTAGTGTTCGTCTCTGGGATTTGGTCCATCAATCATGTACCCACAACTTAATAGGAGTGCAAGGTGTTATCAGGTAAGTGAGTTAAGTTGAATTTCAGTTTATTCTTTTTATGCATTTTTCAAACAGTTTGTTCATGACTCAGTGTGCTAACTTTCCATCCTGAAAAATCTCGGAAGCTTCTGTTGGGAGCTGCTGACGATGCTACTATTGTTGGATGGGATGTTGAGACAGGCAAACCAAGCCTCACCTTGAAAGGCCATTTCAGCAGAGTGTGTGCATTAACTATCCACAATGACAACAATCATGTTATCAGGTGACAGAATTTGTTTTCTATTATTAATTTTTACAATATCAAATTATTCAAAAAAAAAAAATAACAAGAAAAAACAACTATTTAGATGATTTATCTATCTATTGCAGTTGTGGACGTGATAAAGTTGTCATTTTGTGGAATCTCAACGAGCAGTGTGCTGTGAGCACTATTCCCCTGTATGAAGGCCTAGAAGGTCTTGTTTTGCTTCCTAAAGGGATTTCACTTCCAGGAATTAAAAATAAAGTAGCAAATGATATGTGTGTAGCTGTTGCAGGGGAAAGAGGTGAGGTGCTATGTACTGTTTGAGAAGTTGTTTTTATCAACTCTGCTAGACTCAATTAATTTCTAATTCTTGTCTTTAATGTTTAGGTGTTATCCGAATCTGGGATTTGTCTGCTTCTAAAGAAATTTTTGTCCAGACAAATTCATTAGTGTTGAAGGCTAAAGAGGAGGGTAGCTTAGCAATTACTCAACTCCTTTGGAACCCTGACCGTAGTACTTTGGGAGTGGTTTCAGTGGACCACAATATTATACTGCACAACATAGATACTTTTCAGTGTATTAAACAGGTATTACTATTACTGTTCTCTTATTATTATCACTTTAATTTTACCAACTATGTAGATACTATACATTTGTTCATGTTGCCTAATTTTATTTTTTCCATTTATTAGTTTGTTGGCTTTAGTGATGAAATTCTTGACATTGGTTTCCTTGGTAATGACGATTCTCACATGGCTGTTGCTACAAACAGTACTAATGTAGCTCTGTATCGTGTTTCCGATATGAGTTGCTCCTTATTGCAAGGACATACTGATCTTGTTTTGGGACTTGCAACATCAAAGGTCAATCCTAAACTCCTTGTTTCTTGTGCAAAGGTATGAAGTGTACTAACTGCTCCTTTGAATTTGAATTTGACTTAATTATCTAATGTTTCCTTTGGTCATTCATTGGTCTTTTGTAACAGAAATATTCTTTTTGAAATGTTTAGGATTACAGTGTGAGAGTATGGTATTTAACAGATGATGGAACCACAGCTAAATGTGTTGGTCATGGTCAACGTCACACTGCTGCTGTTGGTGCTGTTCACTTCGGCCAACTATCTTGTGAGATATTTGCCTCAGCTGGTCAAGACAACTGCCTCAAATTATGGAAGCTACCCTCTAAATTTTCTGAAGGTTATTGCTGCGTTAGCTAAGATACTCCATGTTTCTACTTTATCATAGTTTTAAGTTCTGTTATTCTTTTTCCTCACTGACTTAATCCACCCCCCCCCCCCCCCCCCCCTCACAGATGTGCAGCCAGCTGTGCTAAATGCAACTTGTACTCAAATAGCACATCAAAAAGACATAAACAGTGTTTGTTTTTCACCCAATGATAAATTGATTGCAACTGGATCTCAAGACAAAACAGCAAAGGTGGTTACTAATTTTAATAGTAGACTTCGGGTCTTTAACCATTTATCTATCTGAAATGTTTAAATATCTTATTTTCCATCCTGTCAAGATTTGGAGTGCAGAAGACCTTTCTCTTGTTGGTGTGCTACGAGGACACCGAAGGGGTGTATGGTGTGTGAGGTTCTCCCCTGCAGATCAAATGTTGTTAACGACATCTGCTGACTGCACCATGCGACTTTGGTCTCTTCAAGATTTAAGTTGTATCAAGGTAGATTATTCTATTTGTTTTGTTTTGTGATTTTGTTGAATTCCTCTTAAGTTGTTGGTGTCTATTGCAGAGTTTTGAAGGCCATGATTCATCAGTGGTACGAGGCGAATTTTTAACATCTGGTACACAATTAGTCACAGGAGGTGCTGATGGCTTACTTAAACTATGGACAATTAAATCAGGGGAGTGCGTATTTACTCTTGACGAGCACAATGGACGAATTTGGGCTTTAGCTGGTGTGTACTTGAATCAATTGAGTTCTTACTTTAGTTAATATTCCTATTTTTGGTATATTTTATCTATTTACTGTTTCTCTTACTATTCTTCCGGCCCTACAGTATCAGCAAATGAGAGTTCCATTGTGACTGGTGGAGCAGACTCTTTGTTGGTAAAATGGAAAGATGTTACCGCAGAAAAAAGAAAAGCAGCCATTGAAGAAAGTGAAAAGCTTACAATCCAAGAACAGCAGCTTTCTAATCTAATCAATAATAACGAACTTCTTAAAGCTCTTAAATTAGCTCTAAGGCTTCAAAGACCCCACCAGTGTCTCACATTAGTTCAAGGTATGTAAAATCCTACCCAATTATTGAAATATAGTGTAATTTTTGTTCCAGCTTAGAATATCATAATAATTCTTGTATACTTTCATTTTAGGAATTCTGAAAAAGGGTGACATTCAAGGATTGAGTGAAACTGTATGCCAGCTCAGCCCAAGTCAACAAGAAGATTTACTAAAGTATGCAGTTCTATGGAACTCAAATGGGAAACACTGCTACACAGCTCAGGTATTTCTTTTGTAGCTAATAAGCTATTAAATTTATTTCTTAATTTTTTTAAATACGTTCATTAATGAGAATACAATTTTACCACCAGGCACTATTATCTGTCCTGTTAGAAGAGATATCTTCTGGAAAATTACGCTTGGAAGGTCTACGCAGTACTTTAGAGGGTCTCTTACCATACACTGATAGGCACTTGAGGCGACTTTCTGAACTTCAACAGGATCTTCATTTGCTAGCTTTCACTGCGAATTGTATGCAGCCTCATGCTTCATGAAAAATGTTACCAAATGCAGTTTTATCATTTGATGTTTAAAAATTGTCTTTAATTTAAAAAACTGATGAACACGACACTTAATAAAAGTTGAAAATCAGTGCGTCTGTGCTTTCCTTCCACTTCTACCACTAAAATGGTAAACCTATCAGAATAACCTAAGAGGATTTAAAATGATCCATATTTACAAGTGAATCAAAATTGTGAAGAGCAATAGCTCATTCTTCAAAACTAAGACCAAAAACAAAACCAAACCTACAAAAACTCAATTTTTAAAAAATACCGCCGTAGCTACGGAGGCTCCGGAAGCAGCTTTTGATTCATGGAAGGCGCCGCTGGTCCGCTGAATGTTTGGTGGTGGTGTGGTGGTGGTGGAGCTGAAGACCGGAGTACCGAAAAGTGGAAAAGTGAACATTTGTTTTGCGTGGTTTTATTTCCAGTCGTAATTTCGTCGAATTATGCTTTAAAATCTGAAAATCTAACATCTTGACTACCATGGAATCAGAACCTCCGAAAAGTGTGCTCGAGAAGGAATTCTCAGATATAGACGCCGACGGTGCTTGGCCGCTCATCTTTCAGGTAGCCTCTATGTTCTCAATTTTCCTGTTCGTTTCACATTTATCTCTTCAAGCTCACTACCTTGGCCACGATAAAGCTTTTGCGCTCAATTTGATATCATTATTAGTTATGAAATTGCTGTTGCTGCTGCTTTATGTCACTACCGTGCCTAATGATGTTTAGGCTATGTTTACCTCTTTAGCCTACTAATTACCTGCATTTGTTTGGGCACAAGTACATTTTTTATGTACATAAGTTTTAATATTTTCGTTCTTTTCTTATCGATCTCTCCATATCATTATGAGTTTACCATTGCAAGTTGATCTGATGTCTGGAAAATTGGATTCTGAGGTGCTAATGAATTGCTACTTTCCACTCCGATATTCATGTGAACCAATGAAATTCCTTTCCACATGTGTGGCTGTGGATTATTTTCTCCTTGTCCATTTGCCACAAGCTGAGTCCTTGCTTATTCTTTTGTAGTTACGTTCAAGAATGCGTGTGTGTGGGTGTTCTTTACCTCTCAATCTATATTTCTATATTTACATTTCCTGAATAAATGCGGTGGGATTTGTGATACAACACGTTAATGTATCTCTTTTGCATTTCAAAATCTCACTAACTGTGTAATTTTTTTAGCACATACGCACCGAATGTTTAAACCATGATTTCTCTACGAATGAGGCCAAAAAGAAACATAATGTGTGTTTAAACCGATATAGAGATGTAATTCCATACGACCACAGCCGCATTGTTCTCAACAGAGGTCCATGCGAATATATAAATGCCAATCTTGTCAAGGTATGTTCTATTTCAATCAATTTTTAAAATTTCTAATCTTTGTCTTATTGTCTACTTCCAGTACTTTGATGTGATTGAAATTTTGTGTTTTGTCATGTAGATGGAAAAAGCCAGGCGGCAATACATTCTCACACAAGGCCCACTGCCGACAACCACAGGTCATTTCTGGCTCATGGTCTGGGAACAGAAATGCAAAGCAATTGTGATGCTGAATAGGATTATTGAAAAAAAGCAGGTAGGCTGCTGATCTCACTTGTTGCTTTTGAGATGGCAAAAGTAAAGTTGTTACATGTGATCTTTTGTTTTAGATAAAATGTCATCAATACTGGCCTGATGGGAAACATCCTGGAGTTGATGATATGTTGGATCTGCCAGATGTTGGCTTGCAAGTGTGTCACCTGTCTGAGAAAACTGAAGAATCATATTATATTACTAGAGTCTTCAGGTAAAAATTGTCTTTTATGTAGAAGAACAAAGTATTTTTGACATCCATTTTATGTCCATCAAAATGTACATTCTGAATTTTGTATTTTTGTTTAATTCCATTTTTGTTTTTGTTTTTTTGTTTTCTATGATCTTAGGCTGACAGACATTGCAAGTGGAGAAAGCAGAGAAGTTCTCCAGTTCCATTACATGACATGGCCGGACTTTGGGGTACCCCAGAGCCCTACTGTGTTCTTACGATTTCTCTCAATTGTTCGAAAAAGTGGAGCTCTGGATTCTGACGTAGGGCCTGCAATTGTTCATTGTTCAGCAGGAATAGGTCGATCTGGGACTTTTTGCTTGGTGGATTCATGCCTAGTCTTGGTACGTTGTTGGACCTGTACCCCTCTTGGAATTTAAAATAACATTGACTTGTCTGTATAATTTGTCTAATACTTTTAATTGCAGATGGAAGAGTATGGGGCTGAAGGTGTAAATGTTAGAGAAATTTTATTAGAAATGCGTCGGTACCGTATGGGCCTAGCTCAAACACCAGATCAGTTACGATTTTCTTATCTTGCAATTATAAAGGGCCATAATGATGGTCTAGAGGTAGATGATGTGGTAAGCAAGTCATTTCCTCCAGAAGCATTTTTATCAAAACTGGACGTATGCAATATAATATGGACAATTAATCATTATTTTCTATTTACTTTCATAGGAATGTGAAGACAATGATGTAGAGCTAGAGAATCAAGAAAATCACACAGATGAACCACCTCCTTTGCCACCTGCTAGGGTAGATTCCCTGATTACAAGACCAACTGCTCCAAGCATAGGTTCTCCACCATCTTCCCCTGATGAAGATTCTGTTTCAGAAGCAGATAGGTATGGGTTTGAATCACACAATATCTAAGTACTTTGTCACTGGTAATGTTTTCCACATGATTTCTTTTTGTATTTTAGCAGTGATGAGTCTGATTCTTCTGATGCCCCCACAAGGCCTCTACCAACTGAACCATACAGTGAAAGCATGCAAACTGATTCAGTCTCCTCTGAGCCGCCTAGTAGGCCCCTTCCTGAGTTGCCTGAACACATGAGCTCTTCAGATGAAGGTTCTCTTGATGTGAATTCAAGCCCAGACAGCCCTGTTCTTAGTGAGAGAAGTGAAAGGTATAGTTTCTCCGCAGTCTTTTTACCGTCTTTTTCTGTTGGCTTTTTGTCATCTATAATGTACACTTTTTCATATATTTTTGTTTCAGTGACGATGGTTTACGGAAGCGACGGAAGGTTGAGCGAGCCGAGCGGAAGGGGAAAATGCAGGAGAGACTTCAGGGCATGAAGAGGAAACAGCAGCAGGCAGATGATTGGCAGAAATTGAAGAGGTCTATATTTCAGCCAATGAATATTGGCCTCGCTATCTTGGTCTTGGGGGGAGGGGCATTGGTTTATTCTTATTATGCCAGCCGTTCTTAAGTGCATAGGTATTGGGTAGAAACTGTGGAGCTGGTTGCCTCATCCCTGTACCATTCTCATTTTCGTGGTCATTTAAAAACAATCAACTCTTGTTTTCAAAGAGTTACCTATTTGCTTTCACCTCCCTTTGATATTTTGTTGTTGCTTTTTTCACTTGTTGAGTCATGCATTCCCGGACCATTTTTTTTTTTTTACTTCAGTGCTCTGAAACTGGACTACTGTGATCTGCATTATCGAATTAGCTCTATCATTCCCATGTTGCATTTTTTAATTCTGATTTTCTTCTTGAGATTTCACTGTGAAACCAATGTAGGTCAGCAGTATATCTTAGTCAACTTGATCAATTTATTTTAAAGACTTTTAATCAATCAAATTGTCTGCAGTGTTTTTCTTATCAATTCTGAGAAAACTTTTCCAGATTTATTGTGTTTGGGTTCTAGCTGCCTTTTGGTTCAATGTTTATTTCAAATTAGTTTAGTCTAATTTTGCACTGGGTCCAAGCATTATTCCAAACTTATGTTGTTTGCCTCCTTTGCCTGTCTCTTTGCTGTCCTTTTGGCTGGTTTATTTTAGAGTGCCATCACTAGTAGATTTTTAGTATATTCTCATATAAATATATATCTATATATATTTTTATAGCAATTAATAACTCAAGTTCCATCATTTATGTTTCTTAGAGTAGCCTGTGTGATTCCCACTCTCATATTGACACATCTTGGTAATGGATGCGGTAGACACAGTATTTTTCTCCCTCGCATGAAAGGGTCAAAGTTTATCTGAACAGAAGCACAGGTTCTTCATTTTTACACTGGGCTTGTAAGAACTTAGTCTGCTTTCATAAACAAGACGTCTCAATATTTCTGTCAACTTGCTCTAATATTTAATTCTGAGAGCTGACCGCAGCAACTATGATGGAAACATGAGTTTATTTTGAGTTTTCTCTCAGCTCTACATGTTGTTCTTTCTTTTTTTTTTCCCCCTTACCGTCTTCTGTTATTTACAATGTCTAACAGATAACTCATGAGTATGTCAAGGAGAGTTTCATGTTTTTTTTATAGAAATATGTTGCTGAGTGTGGAGGCCACTGTCTATTTACCACTTTGGTATTTGGTTCTGTTCTCGTCCCTGTTGAATCCATGTTGGGTACTTTCTGTCCTCAAGTAACTAATCAACCACCCCTGAATCATGACTTCAGTTCATATAGTAGATGTCTTTTGGAAAATTTTGGCTGAAGTATTGTTTATTATTCTGCATTTTGTACTCAAGCAGTAAAGTTCTTGAAAGTAAAGTGCATATAAGGTCTTCCTTGTATAGCATTATCCGGCAATTTTGTTGGTGCCATTTGAATCTGCATTTAAAGCGAAAACTTAGTGTTTGCTGTGTGGTATATTGCCGCAAGCATGGGCAGAGTTGTAAGCGGCTTTTACTGTGTCTACCAGAGAGCAAGTGTAACTAATTCCTAACCAGGAGTTAACTGAGTTAACAGGTGTGTGTATTTTTACTTACCGGTATATATCTTATACTTCATGACCGTTGACAATTTCCTTTTACTTTAATTTTTGAAATTTGAACCAGTTTTGAGAGATTGAATGAAGCTCTAAGTCTAGAGGGCATTTCACTATGACAAATGTGTGAATGTCTACCAACAAAGTTTTCTCTGTATTTAAGAAAACAATCAAAAAGGTTTGTTTTTTTTTTCAGGGGGGGGGGGGGGGCCTTGATCTAAAAGCCTACATGTACTTTTGATCAGAAAGTAAAGAAAAGTTATCACGGAAACTTTACTTTGGGAAGCATTTCATAATTACCGATTCCTATTAAATGTGTGATGTAAGGGTTAAAAAAGAAAATTTGTTGGAACCTGTGCTTTTTGGATTAGTAATGATGGTCACTACCATAAGATTATATGTTTCATAGGGTTAAAGTGGGATCAAATTTCTGTGATTTCAAGGTCTTTTTCATTGTTTGCATGTGTGGTGTAAGGCACTCCACTGGTTTGCACCCAAAAATGATGACACTTCTTACCTTTTAGTAAAATAAGGTCGTAATTCTTATCCATTCATTAGTAGTAACTGTTGTTGGATGGGGTGTTGTCAGTCTGGTTAAAGATTTAAAATTTTCTGGCACACTAACCACTTTGAAGGTTAGTGTGATCTTTCTGCTAGCTGTCCCTGCTCAAAAGGAGAAAAAAATCAAACTTATTTAACAACTGAAAAATTATATTTTTTGATGGGGTAGCTGTACATGGTAGGTCTATTTTTTCAATTTCATTAGACATTAATTACAGTTAGTCCAATTTTCATGTCACACTTGTGTGAGGTATGAACTGATTCAAATTCCTTCTTTGAATATAAGCCCTTATAATAATAGAATATTATTCAAGCCTTTTTCAGGAAGCATTACACATTTTTTACCTCCCTTCGGAAAATTTTGGAAACTTGTGTCTTCATGTCATAGACTTCTTCATTTTAGTTTGTTTTTCTTGTCTCTTTAATTGTACAGTTATGTTTCTTTCCGAGAGGAAAAGAACACTATTAAGTTTATGCCCGAAACTTGCTGACGATTCATAATTTTATTTTGACTTCAATATTATTTTTTGTAACTCCGCAGTGCCATCATCAGCCTTCTTGCCTTTATTTAATATATGTGTGGTGAGGTATGTGTGCTTTTGGCACAAGCAAGAAATACAGTGCTCACATCCTCTGGTAGTTTCTATCTCTACATATCTTCTAGATTTCGTATGACAAAACCAACTGTGTACTCATACACTTTTGTTCAGTAAATTGGTGTAAAAATTTTGAGATATATTAGAAGTAATTTCAACTTCTTGCAAAATTAGCTGAAAAATAAACTAGAAACTTTTTATGAGGCCTCTGCGTTTTGAGTTCCATTAGTAATCATGATCATGTTAGATTTCAATATCTGATCTCACCATTCTATATTTCAGTGAAATGATTGTGAACAGTCCCATGTGGCCAACACAATATTCTAAGGGTTTTCATAAACCTTTCCTAGCTTGAGTTTGCGGTAACAGTTTATTCCAGCCTTTTACCTTCCAGATCATCAAAAGTTGCGAGACTTCAGGACATCAGCGATAGTACTACAAGTGATTAAGAAAAACAAATACACATCAGGATCAGAGAAAAAAAACACTGAAGTACTGCTTATATATTGTATACCCCACAGAAGATTACGAAGATATAGCAGTTAAAATTTGCTAATACGTAAGTGAGTATAAAGTGCGTTTTGAAATGCATTTTTAGTATGCCAGGCTCTTCATAATACAGTTGTTCTCAACTTGCCTCACAGTTTAATTGCTAAAATGCTTTTTCCTTCCGTTAATTATTTTGCTGTCTGTATAGAGATGTGAGCTCCTCACAACTGGTGTGAGTAATTTTAAAGCATTTAAATATTAGATATCAACAAAACTACCTAATTCCAGTTTCAGTGCGCGAATAGCAATAAATTAATCCTATCATCAATTTTATCTTGACACAGAAAATAATTTGTCATATTTGTCAGAGTAGTCACAATCTCTTTGAAAATCAATTGGAATGTGATGATTTTACATGGTTTTACTGTACCTGATGGTTCAAACTTAAAGTAGGATGAATAATAAAGTTAAAGAAAATGTTGAAATTGTCTATCCTTTAGAAACTGTCTCTCTCCTGCTTAGATTAATACAACCTGCAGCAACATTATTTCAACACTATTTTTTTTTTTAAATCACAGACGTACAATCGCATAACAGCAAATTTGCAATCAAAAAGCAGAGATAACTAACTGGTCACTGATTGATGCACTTTGCGGTCAATTTTTAAATATAAAGTAATGGCGCGTCGCGCGGGCGGGGCTTGAAGCTTGAGGTGCAATTGTTTTCTGTTTTTGTTGGTCTGTTGGTCTCCCTGTTGAAGGTATTTTAACTTCTTCATTCAAAACCAACTCCTGCCCCTGCTGCTTTTTAAATCTAGTCTAGTATTTACTCTATGGCTGAGAGCCCTTCTCGTTCGTGAAAATCGTAATATTTAGCCTCAAACAAAATATTGCAAATATAAGACGTCTATATTACGAATTCTAAAAGAGAAAACAATGAACTCACCGACACCACTACCGTCACATAACCTCTAAATTAATGATCCTTCTCTAGGTCCTTGAAGATTCTTTTTCTCCACCAATGTTGTTGTTGTGAGTTACATTTTGCCACTCTTGAAGAATTCCCTTGGTAAGCTGTAATAGAGGACTTACTGAAGTAAATCCCTTTAGTGTTGGAAGCTTTAATAATAATTAATAATTAATAACAAATTGGGTCTCAAAGAAAATTTTCATTCTGTTGAACCAGAATGGCAATGGCTACCAGGGTCAAACAGGAACCGGTGTCACCCACATCTAGTTCAAGTCGTGAACTCTGTAGCCCTCCTCCAGCTCTAAACTCATCGATTACAACTTCAGATTATGAGCAAAGGCAGGTGTATCAGATTATATTCTGCACCATCTGTTTGTCTTTGTAGTAATGGCTATTCAATTGTAGTTGTATAAATTTTGTCTTTAGGATACTATTACTCTTGCAAGGAAGTACCAAACCAATTTCTGATAAAGAAATCCAAAATGAAATACCAAATTTATCGCCCCAGGAACGAGCGGAAGCCATCAACAGTCTTTTGAAGCAGGTAATTAGCTGAATACAGCACATTAATTTTTATATATATCTTTTGATGAAACAAATTAAATTTGCCACTGACTCGGATCTTCTTGTAGGGATCTTTGGAAATATTCAAGCAAGGTGACAAATTAGTTTACAAGTACAAGGAGCCATCAAGTTCTTCCAACATTAAAGGCGCAGATAATGAAGAGAAGATAGTATATAGTATAATTGAGAAAGCTGGTAACAAGGGGATATGGATCAGAGATCTCAGATATGAATCAAATTTAATTGTGGTTACTCTCCAAAAAATTTTGAAAAATCTTGAGAACAAAAAAATAATTAAGGCTGTAAAATCTGTCTCGGTTAGTAATTACTTGATACTTTCTGTCAAGTAGTTATTCTAGGAGTAATTTGTTCTTCATTTTTATCAGGCTTCAAAAAAGAAGGTTTATATGCTATACAGTTTGGAGCCAGATAGTTCTGTTACTGGTGGAGCATGGTATAATGATCAAGACTTTGAATCGGAATTTGTTGATGTCCTAAACCAACAATGTTTTCGTTTCCTTCATCAAAAAAAAGAAGCTGTGAAGAACTGTAAAGATGGTCCAATTGCTGCCCAGAATATGGCTAGTGCATCATCTAAAGATGTTTGGAAATACATCTCTGAGTTAGGGATTAGCAAGGTAAAAGGTTTGAGCTTCTCTGTCATTATACCATTCATAAATAAAGCTCTTTCTCACTTGTTTTTGTGGTATTATATGCTGTAGGTCCAATTATCTGTCCAAGATATGGAAACCATTCTAAATACTTTAGTTTATGATGGAAAAGCAGAGCGAACAGTCCTTGCTGATGGTAACCACATGTACCGCGCTATTGAGTCGCTGCTGCCACCACCAGGCATTGTTCGGACCCCCTGTGGTGTTTGCCCGGTAATTGAGCTTGTTGAAACTGTATCCATGAATTACCCTTAGATATGTCTTTCTAAATATATTCCGCATCTGTTTCAGGTTTTCAACCAGTGCAGTGATATTGGATCAATAAATCCAAAAAAGTGTGTTTACATGACAGAATGGCTTGAATAAATACAATTAATTTAAAAAGATGGATATATTTATAACTGAATTAAAAAATAAAAAATCATGATGTTTAAGATTTCTTAATTACTTATACATCCATCAAATAAATACATTAAAACAGATCTTTAAAATTTCATAGTTTCAGTGTTAGTAATTTATAGTAAATAAAGCTAATAATACATGCATAGTGCCTACAGCAGGATGTAGCAAATACAAACATTCACATAGAATGTTCATTTTAAATTTTAACCTTTCCACTCCTTGTTCTGGGTGATGGTGTTTCAACAGAAGACCTAAGGGAACGACGAGCGGGCAAGGACTCTATACTGGGGGTCTTGGTTCGAGTTTTCTTCTCAGGGTGAACAGGAGTCGAGTTGTTTGAGGCTCCTTTGCTTTTGCTATGCGCCTGTTTCACTTTGCTTACAGATGGAGAGGAATCTGAATCAAGCCCCTCTGAACTAGTGGATTTTAGTGCTTCAGCTGGTCTCTTTTTAGTTGGTTGAGTCTTTGCTACAGAAACAATAGCAGCCTTCCCTCTCGATGATCGTGTTGTGGGTGAAGGTACTGAATCAGATTCTTCAGACTTCTCTCCTGGAATAACTTTAGAAGAACCTTCCTTACTGACATTTTTCTTCAATAATTTCTGTTTTAGTTGAGCTGCTGAGGAAGGTGAAGGTGACTGTCCTTTATCTTCTTTTTGCAGTGCCCTGCTGTGCAGGGCAGGGGATTGGTCTGAATAGGAGGTATTTGAAGGCTGTGGAGTTCCCTCAGAGTCTGATTGTGAAGTAGTACTTCTACGCGTAGCCCTTGTGGGGACAGAGGTCATAGACCTTTCTGGCAGTTTTTCAATGCCTTTCACCTGCTCGCGCCTTTTTTGCCTAGGAGCCATTCTGACAGGGGATATGTCAGATTCAACATCTGTGCTTGATGCACTAGTTGTTTTTTTGTTAATATTTTCCTGAGCATTTTGGCTTTTGAGTTTCTTTTGCTTATTGGGGTGCAGAGGTGCAGGAGAGGAGTCAGAGTCCGATGGAACGCTGTCTGAAACAGACCTGCTTTGTCCCTGTGAGACAGGCTCAGGTAGTGACACTCCAATTTTTGAGCGTCCAGATCTTTGTCTAGCCTGAGTTTCTCTCAAAGGCGATTCATCTGATTCAGTTTTTGATCGAGTGGTCCTGGGCTGAGTATCCAGAATTTTTCCAGATTGTTTAGCATCACCCTTGGCATTGCGATTTCTTTTAGGAATAGTAGAAGAGACGGCATCAACCTCAGGGCAAGAGGTAGGTGTCGATGAATCATCAGATGAGGGAGTCTTTTTCTTTTCATTCGAATTCTTGATCTGGGATTCACCAGAAGAACTTTTACATGGAGATGATCCATTTGAGTTCAGACCCTTTTTATCAATTGTGCTTTTCTGACCTTTGTTGGCATTCTTCTCCATCTTTGAACGAAGTTGTGCTGCTGAGACCGGGGGAGACTCTAGAGAATCTCTGTCTGTCCGATTTGCTATACTTCGTCTTGTGTTAGGTCGAGCTGGTGAATCATTGCTGGTGGAAAAGGAGCCTGAGACTTCAGAAGTTTGTGCCTGCGTACTGCTATCAGCTGTACTTGAAACTTCACTGGGTAAAGATTTTCTAATTCTTTTGGATGGTGGAGTAAGACGAGGTGATACAGTAGCAAGTGCATCAGAACCTTTTCCTGTAGGTGGGGTGATATTTTGGAAAGTTTTCAAAGTTGAGCCCTTTTCAGTTGGGTTAATTTGCCTTTTGCCACTTTGAATGTTTCTAGCAATGCTAGAGCTAGTGTCATTTTCTTTTCTTAAGTTTCTAGCATTCCTTGTAACAGTAGGTGAGTTTGTTTTCTGAGCCAGACACAGAGGGCTGGTTGCAGATTGGGCTTCCAATTGGCCCTCCACCTCTTTCGCCTTTGCACTTTTAGTGAACCGACTCTTCCTTATTTGATCAACTTGGGTTTCGTCAGCCTTTTTCCTTTTAGCCACAGGAGACGTATCATTGTCACCAGGTGCAGCACTTATGCCTCGATTGCGAGTTCTACTCCTCATTGATTTTCCATTCGTAGCTGGTTTCTTAAAAACATCTTCCTTCTCTCTCTCTTTGATTTGACTGGCTTGCTCTTCAGACTCTTCTTTTTCCATTTCTTCACCATCACTAGCCCTGTAATTGATGATAACAATTATTTTATAGTTTAACAAAGAAATAAACTAATGTAAAAATTATATATGAATAAGATTTTACTAACTCATCACGTGGTGGACTAGGTGGGATGATAATGTTAGAAGTTGTTGTATGATATGTATCTTCATCATCAGAATCACCAACTAAGGTGTGAGGATGAGAACCCTGTAGGTAGATAAAATTTATTAGATTCGAAGTTGTGATTATGGCATCAAATGAAAAGCACAAGGCATAAGAATTGAAGAACATTATATTCATTGGCTTACTTCAATATTCCTGTTATTTGTGTCATTACACTGAATAGAACCTCTGACACTTTGAGTGGCTTCCAGCTGGCTGGAAGCTGCTGTATTATCAACCTCTGTTGTTCGCATGGAAACATTGTCAGCAGCAAGTTCTATAAGTGTTCTGATTTTATCAAGGGACCGAATAAATAACTTTTCCTTTGAAATATTGAAAATCTGAAAATAATATAAATTAATTGATTCATTAAGTCAAGACTTTCATACTTTGTCACTCACTGATCATAAAGAGGACACTTACCTCTCTGACCCTTTTAACAAGAGTTTTCAGTTCTTCCCGGTACACAGCATCATCTAATGATAATTCCAAGGCAGACAGTGCTTTTAAGAGAACAGCAACATTTGTGCTATCATCACAGTCTAGAATAGCATTACAAATGGTTAAGGCAAGATTGTTATGAATGTGACTCATCTGTAAAAGAATTTACAAAGTTAAGCAAAAGTTAAAAACCACCTGCACATAATTCAGAGAGAATAGATTTCCCTCACCTTAGAATGATACTTATTAATTCCAGGTCTTGTAAGATTTAACAGAAGACGAGAGACACTCTCTTTATCTATTTGAGTGAGAGGGCTAGTAACTGGAGCCTGCATTAGAGTTCGCAAGGTAGGCATGAACGCTTGTTCCAAGGTTTCTTGACTACGAGGACATTGACTAGCATACAGAGTTAGGAAATAACTAAGTGGCTGTCGCAAGCTTTCATCTCCATCTGATAACAAAGAGTTATAGTAAGATTTAAAGTTCAGTCACCTATCCTTAGATAGAAAAAAATAAAAGTAAATGAGCTGGTTTACCTGTTACAGGACTGTACCACATTAAAATGAGACGAGACAAAAGAGCTGAAGATGTGATACGGCAGGCCATAAGGAGCTTATATAAACCTACCATTGCCAAATTGCGCATAGACGTTGACTGGAAAAAGTTCAACATTAGTTCATACAACATAGATCGATCATAGTCCTGAATCTTTGTAGCTAGGTAATACTTACAGCACTATCAAGGAGAGATGTCAACATTGAGATTAAATTAGAAGTATTTCCACTTGATCCACTGGAGAAAGTTGTCTGAGTTTCTTGGCTTTCATCTTCCTCTGTATCAAAGTCATCATCACACATATCAGTTGGAAAAAGATTCTTCTTCTTTCTCGTCTTCTTCTTTGTAGATACCTCTCCTGCGATAGAGCATAGATTGAGATTTAAAGAAACAATGACATAAAAATAATGTAGAATTTATTGGCTAAAAAAAATTACCATTTTCCTCTTTTTCAAGAATTTGGAAGGTTTCCAGACCATATTGGAGCAGGAGATCAAAAGTCACTTTCAGGGCTACTTCACAGACTTCATCATTGGCAATCTAAAAAGATAAGGAGTCATGCAAAAGTTGCAATTACATTGATAAGTATATAAATAGGAAGATAGGTTGGTCACATGCACTAAGTTACACAATTACAAGAATAATTGGAGGGAAATAGTACAAAAATAAACTGAAGAAGGATACCTGGAAACAGAACATGAAGAAATTTTCTTTGGCCAACGTCTTGTCAAGAAGGGAGAAAATGCCCAAAACTTCTAAAGCTTTATTCCTTATGATGGGAGTTCTTTCTTCCTGTAAGAAAAAACTGTTGTGTATAACGGATATAGGCAATAACAGCTAAAACAGATTGTAAAAAGGCATACAAACCTCCAAACATGGCAGGATAAAATTTTGCATTAATGAACGAAGAGTAGCAGAGAGGCTTTTCACAGAGTCTGACTGGGTCATCTCCCTTACAATACGTAGACATTTACGAAGTGCTAATTCATCTTTCACCGAATCTCGAATCTAAACAATAATTATTACACACAAGAAATGTTACATCAAATACATATTCTGTATCAGACTAAATACAACAAAATAACGTACCTCTACTCGAGTTGGAGGGGGTGGCAGTGCAGGAGTGCCTTCCATCAAAGTTTTTAATTCACATTGAAGGGTTTCACACTCCTCTTGAAGCTTTTGGGCTTTAGTATAATTTTTTTCTCTGACGGCATCATCTTGTTCTTCTTTCAATTCATTAATTTTTACACGAATTGAAGCTTGCTAAGAAGGAAGGATTTCATAAATTAAACTCAAACATAATAAACACTTTAACAGAGAAGGGTTGTATACACCTAAGTCTAAGACCCCCCCTGCGTATAAGACCCCTCCCACTTTCAAAGCCTCCATTGATAAAAAAGAAACTTAACGGGGGGCGTGTATAAAGTGTTTTTAACGTGTTTCCGGGCTTCTGAAGTGTTTGCGACCCGCCTTGGCTTAGCCTGGGCGTATAAGACCCCCCGCTACTTCCGCGATGAATTTTCGGTGAAAAAGGGGGTCTTAGACTCAGGTGGATACGGTAATGTGACCATGCTGCTGTAAACACATGTATGTCCTGAGCAACATACCTTGAGGTCCTTTTGCCTCTGTTCATCAGCAGACAGAGGTGGTGCTTGAGGTGCTTCAGGTTCAGCTTCTTGTTCTGTCATTGGCTCTCTTACTTCAGATATTGCCTCAGCAAGTGCCTGAAGACGGTCCTCCACTTGAGGAACAATTCTGACCATAAGTTGAATAATGACAGGCACAACAATTTCAGGTACAGAGTTGTTTGTTAAAAGATATAAACATAAATCTTTTAAATTGGTTCTGGAAGAAAATTCAAGTTACAATAATAATAAATTAAATCCATCATAAACTGGAAAGAACAGACTCATGATAAAAGCGCACCTTCCCATTTCATCAGCCAAATCGAAACCTTTGCAAAGTTCCAGTAATTGAATTAAAATGTACTGGTGTTGAAGTACCACCCAATGCTCTGCTTCGGCAAGAGACTTAGTATCATGATACCTGGGAAAGAAAGAGCACAAGGGTGAGTAAAATATTGATTCAAGTAAAGATTTCAAAATCATGTACCATCTAATATTTTACTGTTTAATGTAATTGCAGAAAGTTGAGAGCTCAGGTAATAGTTCTGGAAGAGGCTCATCAATAGGGCGGTCATCAGCAATTTCAGGGTGGGCCTCAAGATATTCAGACAACAATCGCCAGTACAGAACATTCTCTGGACTGAGCTCCTCAATTGGTATCACTTTGTCCTCATTTAACAAATTAGTGAGCTCTTCTAAAACTGCTTTCAAGGGCTCAGATCTGAAATTAGTAAACAAATGAGAAAGTGAGCTATTACACTTGCCGCCATGTATAAGTGCATGTCAAGTGTGTTAAAATCAAGCAGAGCACCAAAGCACTTACTTGAAAAGAGCTCGTAAAGCTATGGATGATATTTCAGTTGCATTTTCACAGTCCAGAGCATGTAAAAGTGACAAGAAACTTCCTTTGTAAAATTGGAGCCAAGCTGGTAGCATAGCTTTAGAAACAGCATCACGAACAATAGCTACAACCAGATAAATATTTCAGATTATTTAAGAATTAAAAATAAAGATGTCCAAGTCAACAGTCAAAGCAGGCATAACTAAATTGTACCTGCATGATCTTTCAGGCCATCAGTGAGAAGTCGGACTCTTTGTATTATTGTAAACCTCTGGACGCTTAACTTGGAAAGACTTAAAAATGCAGAACGCCGCACAGTATCTTTAATATCATGAGTGCGTTCAAGAATACCCCGTACAGATGGGGCAGTAATAGCAATGTTTGTGAGTACAGCACGACGTACTTCAGCACTGGGGTCAGAAGACATGTGAAACATGAATGCTGCAACAGAAATGTAAAATGAAACTGGCTACACACAATGGTATCCTGCACAAGTAATCAGATTTTATGAAAAAGATGGCTAAACCTTTCATTACTGGGCAAGATGCATCAGCTGGATCTTGCAACCGATGGAGAGCCAAGACAGCTTGCATGCGAACAGCAGGGGCCTTATCCTAAGAATATGAAGCCGAAAATTAAAATAAGCAACAAATTTAAAAGTACTGAAATATAAAAATCAAAAAAACTACCTGCAATCTTTCCATCATGCATTCACTAATTTGATCACACAAGTCATCATCAATACACGCTTCATTCCCTAAACCATTCAGAATCCTGTTTATGAACTGGCAAACTCTGAAGCGAATTGCTTGGTAGTCAGAGTTGTGGTTCTAAAGCGAAAGGAAAAGAAACAGGAATGGTCAAATTTCATTAATTTATGAGGACTTTTGACCAAATATTTGTAAAACAGCTTACCTCAAACAAAAATTTTAAAACATTGAGAGCAAATGGAGATATCTCTTCGTCTTCTCTCTCTTCCTCTTCAACATCGACAGGGACAGGTTTCGATTGAAGGTGGGAAGCAATAAATTTGGAGGCAAAACTGAGAATATTTTCCACAGGTCGAAACTTTTCCCCTTGAATCAGAGGCACTTGTAAACATTTTATGTATTCATTCGAGAAAGAATCGAGCGAATTCTGAAACACCAAAGAAGCTTGATGTTAGACGTTCAGGCAGTGATGACAGTACATTATCCAACACACACACACACACACACACACACAAAATACAGTGATACAAGAGAAGAGTAATGCTTGGATGAATCGGTCAAGAAAATGAAAGGAAGACAATCATAATTGTAAAGAAGGTTACCTTTTCGTACAGTTGCCTTAATTGTTTGCAAAGTCGTTCATGGGACGTTACACTAAACTGGGATTGATGAAATATTTCCTTCATCCGCTTCACGTCTGTTGAATTCATCTTCCTATCTTTTTCTGCACTTAATTTTTTAGCTCAGAAATAAGGTTCGCTGCATTCTTCAGAGACGCGTCTGTTTGAATGTTTTCGTAACGATAACGATGTCAACTGTAACGGTTTCCCGCCAACATTGGCGCTAAGCCAACTTGAAATGTTTATGGAAGGCGTCGGGTCGGAAGCAGAGCAGAAGCCCAAAACCCAAACTTCTACAAGGCATCCGGCATTCAATCAGCAACAACTCAAAGTTGTGTGTCATTCTCGTGATTTCGTGTGACAGTTCTCTAATTTTCCGATAATAATGGCCTTGATTGAGCCCTTCGCCGGCCATACCCCGATGCAGGCCCAGCGGTTTTCTCCCTACTCGGATAACGGAGGGTACGTGTAAAATTTGTGACTACTGTACATTCGGACCGTGTCAGCAACCCTAAAATTGTATATATCTATACTTTTTCTTACATTCGTTGTTTTGAATTGATTACTGGAGTCAACTTCTGTATTATTTGAAAATTTTTCGAACAGATATCTATGTCTTATTTTAAAAAGATGTTCTTGTTTGTTGTTCAGTTGAGGTTATGACAGTTACCTGACTTACCTGAAGTTACCTGAATTACCTGACTTCTAATACCTCATGCTTTCCATATGATTTTGCACAGTACTATTGTGGCCATCGCTGGGGAAGACTTTGCTGTGATCGGTTCAGACACTCGTCTGACTGTTGGCTATTCTATTAACACGCGTGAACAGAGTAAGCTCTTCCGGCTCTCTGACAAGACAGTTCTTGCGTCCTGCGGATGTTGGTGCGATGTCTTGACCCTGACCCGTGTCCTCAACGCTCGCTTGCAGGTTTGTGTAATTATTTTATTAATTGAAATTTTATCATAGAATTTTATTTTTTTATGCACAATGCTCTTTGATTTCATAGATGTACAACCATGAGCATCAGAAGGAAATGAACACTCCCGCTGTTGCGCAGCTCCTTTCTACTATGTTGTACTACAAGAGGTTCTTTCCTTACTATGTGTCTAATCTACTTGCTGGATTAGATGCTGAGGGCAAGGGTGCTGTGTATCATTATGACCCGGTTGGTCATTATGAAAGGAATCAGTATTACGCGGGAGGCTCGTCTAGTGCGTTACTTCAGCCATTCCTCGACAACCAGGTGATTATCTAGGCATAGCTAAGCTACTTCTGTGTGATTGTACCCTAATCATATGTATTTGTAGGTGGGCAAGAAGAACATGAATGGAGTCGTGCAAGAGCCTATAACTCGGGAGAGAGCAGTTGCCATTGTGAAAGATGCCTTTATATCTGCTGCAGAGCGTGAAATTCATACTGGTGATGCTATCATCATCAACATTATTGACAAGACAGGAGTGAAGGAGGAAAGATTTGCTCTACGTAAAGATTAAAATGTTTGTTTGGTGGGGTTACTTTCAATTGGCATTAATAAAGATTTTTACTTGTAATTCTGCCTTTTTAATCGGACAAATTAAAGACAAATCTAGGAAATATTGTTTAAAGGAAATTTCTTATTTTTCAATGTGGAACAATTCATGCACATTGTGGTGCTACATTTAATGACAACAAAATATTACAGGCTTGATGAGACCAAATGACTTGCAATTTTAACAGAAACAGTGCAATTCAACAATAATGGTCCCTATGATTCAACTTTATCTTGCCATCAAAAATGCCAGTAGAGATCTTGTTAATTCAAAAAAAAGTATTAAAAAGTTGAATTATGCTTGACACCTCAAACTGCAAACTTGTCAAAACAAAGTGACAATCAGTCCATGCACAAAGGGTGTAGCAGGACGGTGAAGCTTCTTCTAAGCCCCCAGGGACAGTTACTTCTTGGTCCCAGGGGGCGGGAGGGGTTGGCCCAGGTCCTTTCCACGCAATTTTATACCTATTCATGAGGTAAGTGGAAAAGATGGTTAAGAGGACAATCAGCAGCCCTTACACAAAATCAAGAATTACGAGAATTAAATATGGTCTTACCAATGGCTCTTTCGATCTTTCCCAAAACAACCTGGTTAGGAATACCTCGCCCAGCTTCGTAATCATTTACAATTTGAGGCTTCTCGCAAACTTTCTGAAATAAGAGTAGATTCATTGCATATGCCTCAAATTGAAAACAAATTTATGAAATCAAAATTTTGGATTAATTCACTTACAGTAGCCAGGTCTTTCTGGCTCCAGCCCTTGGACTGTCGCCCCTGCATGATGAGCTTCCCGATATCCAGTGGAACTTTATCATGCTTCAACTCTTCTGTCTCTCTGTCAAGTTTTGCTGTATTTTTTGTTGTAACAGTGTGCTTATTTTGACCACCTCCCCCTGAAAATTATAAACAAATTAAGTCTATGCAGTGCATATCATCACCATTGAGGAATAATGTTCAGAACTCACATTTTTGTTGGGTATCGACTGCCACACCCTGTCGACGAGCAGCATTCACAGCCTACAAAGAAAGAAATAAAAACTGTAATACAAACGAAATGCCGCATGTAAGATATACCAAATACCGATCAAGGGATGTTTTATTTGATCCAAACATATAATTTTCATGAGAAAAGGAGAGTGAAATGAGAAATGTACATTTCACAATATGGCGTCTATAATGCGTCACACATTGATTTAAATTGTGAGATAAGATTCTATTGGGAAACAATGATAAATATCGATGCGTGCTACAAAGCGCTAAAATACGCTGCTTCCAAGAAAATTCTGGAACTCCCGCACAGCAAGTGGCCACAGGCATGGCACTGATCTTCAATGGACACAACCTTATATTCATATTTTTCTTACCTGTTCACTTTTCGCAGCTGAGGCTTTCTGAGGTCTCTTTTTAAGAATAGTGACAGTATCCCAGTCCGACATGACAGCAGGTTGTGAAATTCCACTTGAAGGAAAACAATGAACCAAATACGAACCCCTAATCTTTAACTAGGCTATAACCTGTACGTACGACGAATTTCGTAGTGCGTGTGTATGTGCGACGAGACAACTGTTGTGGTGTGGCGGAGTGGGGGTGGGGGCTGACGGCTGTGAGACACTGGAACCAACTGGGATCTGGCATCCAGGGTTTTTTGAATAGACGTAGTACAGTCGGAGAAATGAAGTGCTCCAACGGCTGAGGGCTGAGGGAGGTTTGGCTCGTTGGCTTTGCTTTGTACCAAAGTAAAGACTTTATCAAGACTTTATTATTATTACCTAGTTTAATGTGATGTAATAATGCAGTAAATGGATCTTTATATTCTTTATTGTATTTACACAAAATCTATAGTACTCATAAGTAGAAAAATTAAGTTAGTGTTTAATTAAATATTCTGTTGGACAGTATATGTAGACATTGTGACAAATACAATAAAAAAATGTGAAAATAAAAACACAGCAATAAAAGAAAACCAAACAGGTACTTGAGACATCATAAAGAGTAGTTCAAATCAGAATTTGAAAAACTTACTTCAAGGAACAATCATTGGGTGCAACACAAGACAAAAAATGAAACAAGTTAAGACATTTTTACATTTTTGACCAAAAATTTTCAAAATGCATTGAGTAGACAATGAATAATGAAAAGTACCAAATGTAGAAAGATTTGTCCTATTCAAAATTGAGATCCAATCATACATATTCATGCAACAAAAAAAAGAAGGAAGTGAAGGAAAAACTCGAGCACACAAACAAGGACTGAAATAAAAGACTGGAACCCTTTAAATTAAATACCGTAGTTTGTTTAGTTGCAAACAGATGAAAAGAGTGAAAGTTTCATCAACCACTAAAGTAGATGCTGAATCTCTTGGTAGTATAGTGTAAACCTCCCCTCTTTGGTAACATGCAATACAATTAAATTACACATTTCCCCCCAGAAAATGTGTAAATGATAAAGGGCTGACACAAACTTTGGTCAAGAATAAGAACTAAATATATAGCTATACAATTTACACTGAGATGTACTCAAAACATGTTCCATAAAATGACACTACTCCAAAGAATTTCATTCTTGAAGAAAATACATTTAATTCAGTCAGTCATTTTTGGTTAGGCAATTGATTGTCATTTGATAAAAACAATTATAAAATAAAATAACATAACAAAATATGGATAAAATAAAAAATTTCAAAGACAATATTCACGGTTAGTCAGTAAAATTATTTTTGATTGTTTAACCTTTGAGTTAATGCAAACTGATACAATATTTTTTTTTTAAAAAACAACGAAAACAAGCAACAGTGATTAAGATCTGAACTGTAAACACTTTTAAACACAGTTGCACGCAGAGAGTTATTAATGATTCAACAATCACCAACAACGCCTCTGTAATAAAAGAAAAAGTTAGAATTTACACAGGTAACACTGATGGCATTTCATTACATGAATGGATGGATGGTAGCAAAGAATAGGCAACAGGAATGTGGCGGAAAATATTTAAAAAAGAAACCAAGCACATTCTTACACTTTGTAGAAGTTTGGAGGAATGAGACTTGAAACAGAAAGACACAATAATAATTGCACATTAACCGGGGGAGCGAATGATTAGAAACAGCTTACACACAGCATTTATAAGAATTATTGCCATTATTGATTACCAGTACGTAATATCCAGTACGTATGTTAAAAGAACGCACATCTGCAGGTATACTCTTAAAGCTTGTTTAACCACAAACCCCACAACTGAAAAAATTAATACTTAATTTCATTATTTATGTCTTTGTTAAGTCAATACAATGCAATTGTGAACTAATTTCATCCACTCTCATGATGATTGTAAACGTCGATATGTTTCAAGGATTTCTGGAGAACATATGTAGGTAGTTCCATTGGCTGACGACTGAAGTTGAATGACAGCAGGAGATGATGATGGAACTATTTGCTGAATGATATGTGGGAGAAGATTGTTTACACCGTTGGTTGTTGGAACACTAGCTTGTATAGTCACTGGCATTAGATTATTTCTGTCTAATATTTGCCCTAGCTCTTGACATTGCTGAATATCAGAATGATGAGGTTCATTTTGAGGTTGCGAGTGCCCATTAACATGTAACTGTCCTAAAGGATCTTCCTCTTCCTCCTCTCCCACACATTGGTTGAGATTTTCATCTCTGTCCTCAATATTTGCATCACTGGAATCACTTCTGTCATCCTAAAACACAAAGGATTATTTAAGAACATGGTATGTAAGGAGTTTTATAACGATGAGTCTTAGTGTAGCGAGCAATACCTTTTCACTACGATTTCTCCTGATTACTTTTCGGTGTCTCAGCCTATGCGAATCACAGAAAGCCTTGGTGGGAAACCCTTTACCACACACATCGCATTTAAACGGGAAGTCTAAAGGGTCCATAGCTATTCCTCCACTGTCACCTTCTACAGCAATTCCATGGCAAGCCTAGATGAAGATTAGTTGTAAATGAAATTATGAATAAGTGCAAGTTATAGATAGTACATCTAGAACTACAATTAGAATAAAAAACAATCTTACCATATGCATTGTATAGTAGTGTTTTACAATGAAAGATTTACCACAAGTTTGGCAGTTAAACGGTCCCTCAGTTGCATGAGTTTTACGATGTTTATGTAAGTTATCCTTCCGACTAAAGTTTTTACCACACTGCTCACATGGAAATTGTTTTTCACCAGAATGACTCACAGAATGTCGCAGGAGATGTTCCTTTCGAACAAATGTCTTGTCACAGAACTGACATACATAGGGTCTTTCACCTAAAATAAACAAAAAAATTAAAAATAGATAACATTTGACATATAAAGTAACTATTATAATCTGAAGGGAGACCTTACAAGAGCAGAAGAAAGCTAAAGATTACTAGCTTACACCTACCTGAGTGTAGTTTCTGATGTTGAAACAGATGTTCTTTCCTCTTAAACAGCTTTGGACACTCATCACAGGAATAAAGACTTTTCCCATCCAGGTCTTCGCCTCCGGCCCCACTCACAACAGCCTCTATTGATGAGCACATTGAGTCCTGCCTGTCTTTATCTCCTTGAGATGAAACATCATCCCTCATGTCATCATGTAAATCCTCTTCAGGTTCAATTTCACTACCAAACTGTAATATTGGAGATGTAAACTCAGATTGGTTAATTTTATGATCATTTTGAAGTTGAAGCTGCTGTTGTCGGTGCTGTTCCTGCAGTTGTTGCTGCTGCTGATGTAGCTGCTGTTGTTGTATTTGTTGCTGGTGTTGTTGAAGTTGTTGCTGCTGTTGAAGTTGTTGTTGTTGCTGCTGTTGGATGTGTTGGTCTTGTTGTTGCTGGTTTTGAGACTGCTGCTGGTGAGCTTCAAATTTAGCTGTGTCTCGCTTCCTTTTTTTCTTTTGCGGAGTCAGAGTCTGGTCTACTTTTTGTTGGAGTTGCAGCCGTTGTAACTGCTGCTGCTGCTGCTGCTGTTGCTGCTGTTGCTGCTGTTGCTGCTGTTGCTGCTGTTGCTGCTGTTGCTGCTGTTGCTGCTGTTGCTGCTGTTGTTGTTGCTGCTGTTGTTGTTGCTGCTGCCTTTGTTGCTGCTGTTGTTGTTGTTGCTGCTGCTGCTGCTGCTGTTGCTGCTGCCGCTGTTGCTGCTGTTGTTGTTGCTGCTGCTGCTGTCTTTGCTGCTGCTGCTGTTGTTTTAGCTGCTGTTCCATTTCTTGCTGCTGAAGGGATTGATTTTGAAAGAGCTGTTGGATTTGTTGATGATGTAGTTGTTGATTTTGCTCTTGTTCATGATGCTGCTCATCGTGCGGTGGTTGGGCAGGTATTATGTTCTGTTGTAAGCCAACAATGCGTAATCCACCTGGTACAGCAGGGTCTTTGACCACAGTAGCACCATCCACTAAATTCATTTTTAAAAATTCACCTAATTGAGCAATTGATGCCCTGTAGTTGTAGATAGATAGAAAGAAAAGTTAGTGCTTATGGCAATAGTATGCAATTATCATTTAAACTAACTATCCTATATAAAGTAGAGTTGTTCTACCTTTGAAGTTGTGGGTTAGTTGGGTCAGTATCTTTTATATTAAAATGAACCATCAATTCTTGTCCAGCAAAAGTTATAGTTTGGGGCTGCATGTGAGCCTGAGGAGCATGTTGAGATTGTTGAGGACCATCACTGCTTCTATCAGATGTAACCTAAAACGATAAAAAAATGAAAAACAGTAACGAAAGACACCAGATGCCCTTGGTAAAAGGATATGACAGTTTAAATTTTCTAAAATAGTTGTTTATTATGCACTTACTACTTCAGGTTTGGTGTCAATCTTTTCTAGTGATATTTCTGAAGAAGACACAGCATTATTTAAGTAAGTATACCTAGTACCATCACTAGCTTCTAAGACAGGTGTGGCAGATGTGCCCAGTATCTGTAAAATAGAAGATGATAAAACAAAAATAGTATGCAATAAATAGCAGAAATATAATTTTTTTTAAAAAGTAAGAAAAATAACAGCAGTTAAGAGCCTAGACAAGAAACATACAGGTTGCAGACGAGCCGATTCTGTATCAGAAAGTATTTGTATTCCTGCTGCGTGGATGAGATTGGAAAGACCATCAGCACCAACAGGTAAGACAAGAGTTGGACCTGGCACTTTTCCTGTTGTTGGTGTAATAATTTCAGGTTTACTTGGTGATATTTCTTTGGCGGGATAATTTTCACGTACATATACCTAAGCAAAAAGAAAAGGAGCATTTATGAACCTGCATTAATCCAAACCCTTGGAATAAAATCTAAAAAAGTAAGAATCATACCATAGCTGCCTGCCCTTCTTTATGGTCTTCTGCTCTAATAGTAGAGAAGTAACTTTCCAGCATAGCTTCAGCATTCACACAAGCTTCTCGGAACTCAAAGAGGTTCTCCAGCTTTTCAACACAGCTGGAACACACAATCTTCGGCAAGGAGTCATCCTCTGCTACCTTCAATGAAAAGAGAGATAACATATACAATCAATTGAGTAGGAGAGGACGAAAAGTTAAATGGCATACAACAAAATTTTACATTGTCAGACAAATTTGTGATCTAGCTCAGTGTCCTACATACCAAAATAGTAACCTAAATTACTATGGTTGTAGATTTCAAAAGACATTTAAACAAAATCTTGATTCTTGAAAAACTACTTCAAGTCGCGAAGAAATAGTTGATTGAATGAAGCAAGGCAAAAATTGGAGTAACAGTTCTACATACTGTCATATACATATACATCATTTAGGTTAGGTTACCAATCACAAGAAAAATATACTGATATTCGAAAAGACAAACAAATGCCACTGTCTCCCAGTAAGCTGCGTAATTAAATGCAGGATTCTAATGTTTCAGATTTATTGAACAGCACAAATGTAAACATTACAAATGACTTAAAATACCTGAAGGGGGAGACATAGAGGAATTTTGTTGACAAGCTGCCGTCTGCGGCCCTCCTCCCGAAAGATGTGCATTTTAGTTCCTTCGGTAGTTGTGCACAACCGGCACAATTCGTAATAATTCACCCTTTTGTACCCCGACATGGCCAGTCACAATAAATCAAAACAATAACAAACGCAGTTCACACTACATTCACTGCTCTCATGACGACATCCTTCCCTCCTTCCCTTCGTTCCCCCTCCCCTCCCTAACCCCCACCTCCACCCTACTCCACCCCCACTTTCCCCGATTCGCCGAGGATCTGGACTTGAGAGCTCAATCTACCCCGAAAGCTTGAGGCTAGGGCGGGCAATGAAAATGAGCAACTTTTACCACTCATTGAAGAAATCCAGTCTCTCCTTCTTACAAGCCCTCTTGATATACAATTTAAATTCAAAAGAAAATTGTTGCAATGTATATTTCTTTTTTTGTTTTTACACGAAACAGGGTTGACAGCGGTTGACAGATTTTTCTGTGAGGGTGTTCGCAGCCTGGATCGCGAGGGCAGTGCGTTTGTCATCACGTAATGGACGATGAGAGATATGTTTGTTTTCTCCAATCTCTTAGGCTTAAGCGCTGTTTGATATGATTTTAAGGCTGCAAGTCCTGCGCGAATCAAGTTTTAAGTGTCGTTGTGAGTGCAAGTTCTTCGAATTCGACGGGGTGACCGACGAATGCCGCGCGCGGCAGGACGGGAGCGTAGCGCAAGGTGGTCGACAGACATGCTCCGCTGATTGCTGACCCCAAATGAGTGTATTTTGAAGAGCTATGAGTAGAATCGATAGCCGGGCGGACAGCTTTCATAGCTTGTGCCGCCTCTGTGCGTCGTACGATGCGGTCAAACTGGAGATCTTCGGGGAGGAGGGCAAGGAGAGGAGTCTGGTGGAGAAGATACAGACCTGCCTGCCATTCCAGGTACGTCTACGTCCTGCCTGCGGGTCTTGCACCTGCCCGACGTCCTGGTCTGTCCTTCGCCGAGCCCCTTTCGTAACGTCCGCCTCGACCGACTGACCGACCGCTCTCTGAAATGGAATGCGGGAGCTGTTTCGGCGAGGAAAACGCGGACAATGCAGTATTTATGAATGAAATAAAAAATCTTTTTACTAAAAAGTCCTGCTGGCGGGGAGAGTCCGGCTCGCACCACCCCCACCTAGCCGTCGGCTTTCACGACGTCCGAACGGGGCACACCATGTCGTATAGTGATTGTCTCCCCACAAGCTAATGATCTACCTCCCCTGTTGTTAATGTCTAATAAAAACATACAACTTCCACCATGACCATTTAAAGATAATTTTAAAATTAGTTTTGTTCTAATTACACTTCTGAAATACAAAACAAGTAAACTGTAGAGAAATATATGGAAGGAGTTAAGGAACACACTGCATTTTCCACAGAATCTGGGTTTCATTAGATGAAATTATCCTGTGATGCTCTCATACAAATTGTTATTTTTTCTATATTTCAGATTTCTAAAAATGACCCCCTTCCTAAATCCTTATGCTACCGGTGTATGTACAATTTGGAAAATTTCTACGACTTTCGAATGGGCTGTGTAAATGCAGTGGCTCTGCTTGAGAGCTGTCTGATAGCTGATGGTGGGGTACGTATCCATTTATCGGTATAGTAATGCTGAAAGTTTCAAAGTTAACATAGTTGAGCTTTATTTTTGCTGTGCATTTTTTGACTCAAACAATTTTGACATTATATGATTCCAGAAAAATTTAGACAAGGCCTCTGCTGAAAAGAGGGCAAAAATAATGAAACATATGTCTAAAGCAACTTCTCGAAGTTCAGATGTTGCTATGCCACAACTTGAACCTGAGGTACTGAAATCTGTCTTACACTTCCCCTTTTCTCTGTCTTTTATCTTAAATTTTCGTGTTTCACTTGTAACATATTTCCTATATTTTTTTTACAAGCTTGATGCATTTCAGATCCCATTATCAAATTCAGTTAAAGAAGAACCAGATGACACTGACCTTCCTAAGGATGAAGATGACTCTCTCCCTAAAAATAAAACATCAGGAACTTCTGACTCAAATATGCCAAAACTTCCATCTGCTATTGAAGATGACGAGGAAGGTGGTAATACTGATGATGATATGGAGGAAATAGATGAGGATGAGGAAGATGAAAAAGTGATTGATATAGATCCTGCAGATTATCTGGAGTCTAGTGTGGTAAGCCACAGTGTTGAGCTCTACTTATGATTTTTCCAGCCCAATTTAGCTCACATGCATTGTTAATTTTTTTCTAGGCTGTCGAAATGGATGAATCATTACACTCACCTGCAAAGTACGTGTTCAGAGTTTTTCTAAACTAATATTTCCCCTCCATTTCATGAATGTAGTAGGCCTAACAACCACTTTTTTTTTTTCAGGAAAAGTATTTCTCCTCAAAAGTCTACTGAACCTCGTGAATTATTCACTTGTCAAATTTGTGGCAAAACACTGTCCAGCAAAGGACATCTGTCCCTGCACATTAGAATTCACAGGGATGACGGCACAGATGGTAATTGTAACACCAGCTCCTCTGTGTCAACCAGCAATTCTACAGGATTGCCATTTTGTAGACCCTATAGATGTGATCTATGCAATAAAAGCTACTCCTCTTCTAAACATCTGTGGGGCCATGTTAGTTCCAATCACAGAGGAGATCCAGCTGTAACATGTCCGGAGTGTCATCGCCTGTTTTCCTCTGTAAACAATTTGGAAGAGCACAAGAGGTCAAAACATGGTGATCATACCAGTGATGCAGGTGATGAGGTGAGATGCGCCTATAATCTTAATTCCTGTAGGTTATACATTTAATCCTGTGTGGCATAAGGAATTTTATGTTCATGGACTCCTATGTTGTTTTTTGTAGTTGTCCAAAAAGTTAATAATTGATGAGGATTCATTTGGTAAAATGGATTCTGATGGTGACACAAACCAGAATGGAAAGAGGCCCAGAGATTTAGATGAAGCTGCAGGAAGTAGGAGAAAACGTTCAAAGCCAAGGAAAATAGCTCGTACCCATAGCTCTGAGTCTCAAGGAGGTAATCTGAGATGTAAATTAAATATCCTTTTGTCTTAAAGACCATACCACTTAAATCAGTACTTACTTCATTGTAGATGAAGGTGATGGAGAGCCATTGGAATGTGTTTTATGCCTTGAAACATTCCCTGATGTCGCTCAGCTAATGGAACACACCAAAAAACATGAGGAAGAACATGAAGAAACACAGGCTATGGTGCAGGCACAGTCTATGATGAACTCTCAAAACCTTAGTTGTCTACTATGTGAAAAAACCTTCACTCTCAGGTATTTTTATAATATATCTGTAGGGTGTTTCTAGTGTCAATTTATTGTCCCTTAACATATTTATTTTCTTCTACAGGAATTTATTACATGATCATCTTCAAAGCCAACACGGAATAGATCCCTCAGATTTATTGGAGCATCAGAAACTATCTCAAGATGCCAGACTAGAAATGTCCATTAAAGCAGAGATAGATGAAGATCAGGATCATCATATGCTAGCTGAGAGCATGTTGGAGTCAGAAACTGTATGTTGCATTGCCTATTTCTGGTGTAAAATCTTCTTGAACTTCTGACCTTTTCTCACATTTTTTAAACTGATTTTGTACATTCAAAGGTTTTCTGCTGTGAGGCATGTATACGAGAGTTCACTGATCGCTCAAGCTTGTGGTTACATATGTTGTATACTCACAAAGAGGCAGCTGCAACAGCGTGTGGACTATGTTTGAAGGTGTGTGGTGATCTACCTAGTCTCACTGCACACATTCAGACCTGTCACACAACCAGCCACCTCCTGAATGAGAAGAGAAGATACAGGTAGAAAGCTTAACTTTTATTGGCTGGAAACATTTTCTATGTGGTTTATTTCTGCACTAATTAATTTTTGCCTACCTTCTAGCTGTTCTGTTTGCATGAGACAGCACGATTCTCGCAAAAAGCTTTTATCACATGTTCTTATCCATGACATTGGGTCAGCCAAGCCTGATGACCTTATCATTCTCAACTCGGATTTGTATCAAGCTGAGAATCAAACTGAAAATGATTTTGATGAACAGGACAGCCATGATACTTCCTTCACTAACACTCCTGCTAATTTAAACATGTCTACTGCATCTTCAAACTCGGCTGTTTCTGCAGCAGCTGCAGTTGCTGCTAACTCACCATTTGCCTGTCAGATATGTTTAAAAATCTTCCCTAATGAGGAAAAAATGGTTAAGCACAAGCAAAATGCCCACCGACAGGATGCTCTGGTAAAGACTTGGTTTTAAAATTGTTATTATATCTTACCAGCGAAATAGGCAAAACCCTACATTCTTCTCTCTGATTTAGGTTCATGCTGCGTCTGGAGTGGGTACATACCACCTCTTTTTCCGATGTGAAATTTGTGGAGTTTCACATCAAAGCAAGTCAGATAGGTGGAAGCACGTCTATGAAGTTCATAGAGGTGATCCAACTGTGACCTGCAGCCGAAATAACTGTGGTAAAGTTTTTCCTTCAGCAGAGCTTAATCAAGAGCATGTTAATCATCACAAAGTGCAGGGAACGACCCCGAACACTTGCGAGGTTGGTGGTCTTGATTTGATAAAGTTTTTTGTCCTTCCTAGAAAAATTATCTAGGATTAGATTAAATCATGTATTTATAAAATTACAGATTTGTGGAAAGCTTTGGAATTCTCGTGTAGATTACTGGAAGCACATGATGGGGGTGCACGCAGAAGTTGTACCTTTTACTTGTGGCGTTTGTCTTAAAATTCTACCTGACCTGCCTCAGTTGATGGAACATGTTAAGTCATGGCATTATCCTTTGACTGGAGGCGATTATTGTTGTGACATCTGTGGAAGACCTTACTCAAACAGATCCAAGATGTCACGCCACCGCAGAATACACTTTTCTCTGCCAGGTGAAGATGATGTGGAGATCCCAGCTGAAGACGAAACTCCAACTAAATCAGGTTCCGATAAGAAAGGAGTGACTGTTAAAAGTGAGCCAGTGGACAATGCTATTAAGCCTAAAGCCACAAGTATTCATTGTGAAGGCTGTCCAAATCGTACTTTCTCTTCACGCGAAGAGTTAATTCAGCACAGACGAGCTGATCATGGAATGCTCACTTGTGATCTCTGTGACAAATTCTATGGTCGTACCTCCCACTTGTGGAAACATGTCAATAAAATGCATAGAGGACATCCTTCTGTTACTTGCACTCACTGTGGAAAATTGTCAGCTTCAAAGTCACATTTACGCAGTCATGTTCTGAAAATGCACAGGCCAGGAGTTCTTGTTGGACACATTGAAAATGTGCAATTACCCATTCCACCAGCACCTGAAAAAAAGGTAAACCATTTGTAACTACTTTCAGTATTTGTTTTTTTACAAAGGTAAGGAAAACCCTTGCAGTTTTTCTGAAGTGCTGTATTTTACTTTTCCAGACTGAACGGGTGCTGGGACCTCAAGCTTGCCCACAATGTTCCAAAGTCTTCTGTAATAGGTACAGGATGTTAAGGCATCTGAAGAGTTGCAGAATGTCACCAGCAATGTTCAACTCAGGCCACCAAATATTTGATGAGAAACCTAAAGGCCCAGCGACATGCCAACATTGTTCCAAGGTTTTCTCATCCAGGAAGGCAATGAGGGAACATGAACATAAATATCATATTATGTATGATTGTGAGTTGTGTGGTGAAGGAGCCATACCAAGTAAAACAGCACTGATGGACCATATCAAGATTGCTCATAGAGGTACTGTCATAGCCTTTTGAAAACTTACCATCATGACCATACTTCAAGCTTTTCTGATACATTTGTCATTAAGATTAGTCTCTGAGGCACTGTAGGTCTAGAGATGGGATCTGGGAATATATTTTTCACCATGAGGGAGATGTACACACAAGGGACATTTTTAACCTTAAGCTTATGGCATTCTGGTATTAATAATGTGTTCAGCTATCCCCTTTCTTTCGGAAAATATACTACCGCCAAGCTCCACCTTGAGACCTACTGTGGCTTAGAGATTAATTTTATTGACAAATGTACCAAGAAATCTTTTGGGGCAGGAAAAGCCCCCTTTGCTCCTCTGCTCTGTTATCTGTACCAACCTGCTTTCAACAATTTCTTTCAGGATCAGAACAGTTAACATGCTCAATTGAAGGGTGTGGCGTAGTTTTGAGATGCTCTGCTGATCGTGAGAAACATGAGAAAGAGCACAGATCACAGCGTATTCCAGCAACATGTGTGAAATGTGGTGAGCTCTGTGGCAGCAAATCTCGATTGAGACAGCACATGGTAAGTCTCTTTGTCAATTTCCTGACACTATTGTTCATGCAGGCTTAGGGGAAGCATGTTAAAGTGTGTAAATCCAGAAAAATATGTTATTTTTATCTTAATAACTTTTTAACAGACTTTTTGTGTTTGTTTCCATTACAGAAGATACAACACAAGCTAAGTCCAAGCATCCTTTGTACCATTTGTGTGGCTATTCATCCCAACATTGATGATTTGCGGGCTCACGTCCAATCCGAGCATGCTGCAATAATTAACCGTGCAAATACGTGTAAAGTATGTGCTAAATCAGTAAACTCAAGGAGGCGTCTTATACATCATATCAATAATAACCATGATGGTGCTTCCCGTCTGTGCACTGTTTGCTTGGGATTCTTCGCCAATCAAGAAGAATTGGCAAAGCACACAGAAGACAAACACTCAAAGGAAGAGGAGGAGGCTGAAGAGGAAAGTGATTCTTCCTCTGAAGATGAAAATGGGAAAGACGACAAAAATCAAGTAGATGAAGATGAAGAGGATGAGGAAGATGAAGAAGATGACGAAGAGGATGATGATGAGGAAGGACAAGGTGACGGAGAGGATGAGGAGTCTCAAGAGTCACATTCTGAAGAGAAGTCTGTGGAAGAAAATTCAAAAGCTGATAGTGATGTTAGTGAACTTACTTTGAATGGAATTGATGACGCCAAACAACATGGAAGTTCTCTTGCATCTGATGACATTTCTTCTAGCTCAGAGAATAGTGAAAAGAGCCAAGAGAAGCAAGTTGTCTCCGAAGGGAGGCCTCGTAGATCTTACAAATGCAACATTTGCAAAGAGACATTCAAAATGCCATCCCTTCTCATGCAACATCAAAAGCAGAGACATCGCTCAGGTTCTGTTCCCATGCAGTGTCCCTCCTGTGATAAAAAGTTCTCAAACAAACTTATATTTTCAAATCATGTAAATCTTTGCAAGCGGGAGAAAAGTTCAATCTTGCAACAGACACTGGAAACTGGAAAAGGGGGTTTCAAGGACAAATCAAGCAGAGTAGTTCAACTTGCGGAAATGGCAGGCTTTAATGGACACTTCCTTGAAGGAGGTGACGATGGCAAGGACAGCAGCCCAGGTAGTTCATCTGCCCGTGCCAGAATTCAACGCAAAGTCTATGGTGAGAATGAAGGTCCTATTCACTGCTCATTGTGTAACAAAGTTTGGCCCTCATTGAGGCAGCAATGGCAGCATCTAATTCGCACTCACAGAGAAGCTGCGGCAACAACATGTGGTGTATGTCTTGAAATATGTTCAGACTACGCAACATTGAAGGTTCACCTTCATGAAATGCATCCTGACACATGGGAGGGAGAAGGTAAAAATTTTACATGCCGAATATGTGGCCGCTATCATAATGCCAGATCAAAGCTGGAACTTCATAATACCATTCATCTTGGTTTGGAGGGTGAGCTGGGTGAGACTATGGCTCTTGGAACAAAGGAGGAACTTGAAGAACAGAAAACTACTCAAGGAATGGGCTCTAAGACATTAAAATCGCCTGAAAAAGAATCAGAAGATAGTGAAAACTCCTCATCGGACGAATCTGATGATTTGAATGACGACATGCAGTTGTTTGTTTGCCCTGAGTGTTCTATGGTATTTCAAACAGAAGATGCTCTTGATTTGCATATTACATCTAAATGTTCCCATCCAGAAGATGAATCAACTTCAAGAGATGACTCAAAAACAAGTAGCTACTCATGCCACCAATGCAATAATGCTACCTTCTCAACTTACATAAGTTTGAGCAAACACTACAAACAATGCCCCAAGTTAAATGAGAGTAGACCTGAATCTAAATTAAAAGAAGAGTCAGATGTGTCAAATGGGCTTGAGGGAAATCAAAATGAAGACAGTTCTGATAGTAGCTCGAGCAGTAAATCAGATCAAGATGGCAGTAGCAGTAGTTCCAGCAGTTCAAGTAGCAGTTCTAGTAGTTCTAATGATGACGACTCTCAAGATGAAGCTGACCATGACGATGATGTAGAGGAGGACTCTGAAGCTGATGAAGAAGGTGGAGGAGAAGGTGAGAAAAGCATCCATAACATGTCTTGTAATGTTGCCAGGGATCTTGTTAAGGATATTAAAGATCTTGGGTCAGCAATATTATAAGAAAAAGAATTAAGTTTTACAAAGAAATCAAAATTGTTTGTTTCTTATTCATGTAAATTAAAAGTTCACTGAAGACTGATTGTCGTCAGGGTATCGCATCTAACTCATTACCAATTTAACTTTGCATGTTCATATCATTACTAACTGACTTACATCAAGTTGGGTTCTGTTTAACATTCTTTTCACCTACGTCCTATCTGTTCTTTCAGGTTCTCTCACCTCTTAATAGATAGGATTTTCTTCAAGTGGTAAGTAAATCAATTGTATCATAATCATTTATCCATTTTCACCGAATTTCCCATTCTGTTGTATGAGTTGGTCCTACTTGCAAAATAAGAATGGAAGACAAGGTATAATGCCTTTCCAACTCACTTCTCTATTGTTTTCCTTTTTTAAAAAAATAAAAATAATTTTTACATATTTACATTTTATGTCTTCCATCAAAAATATTCACTTCTGAAGTAATGTTTATTCTTAATGATTATAGTGGGGAAGTTAAAAAGTTTGTGATGAAGCGTGGGTACAGAGCTCAAATTTGTGACTTATTATAGAAATGTGACCTCTATGACACACATAGAGACCAATCTCATCTCTTATTGTAATTACAGTAGTACAAATGGATTCAGCTCAGTTTGCTAAAAGTTCAACAGCATCTGATTTCTCACATTTCTATGAAATTATTCATCTTATATGCACAAGCACCAACTCAGTCTTTCAGCTTTGAAATAATCACATTATATCATTGAGTAATCATTTTGTTGTGAATCATACCAGTCAGTACAAGTGATGTTCACACATGTTTTTGATATGTTGAACTGGAGTTATAGCTGATTAAATAGTGAATCTCTTATACCTGTCAATGAAGACTGCCTCTCTTAGAATATCATGTCTTTACTGTATTGGCTAATTTTATAACTGAATCAAATGGCAAATTGCGGATTTTTTCTCTCTCTCTCTCTCTTTTTTTTTTTTGGTTATATTATTGATTGTAATTTTCTTATTTTATGACATTGGACTACATCCTTTCCATCTTTCTCATTGAAATCTAATTAAATTAAGTCCAATTTCCATGTCATAACTAGTATTGTTTATTATGAATATCAACTCTGGCAAGTCCTTTATTTTAGATGGAAGTGCAGTCATTCCATTTGTCTAACCTCTTAATCACTAACCAAATCCTAGTCAGTAGAGAGCTTTTTACTGTTGAAAAACAAAATTTTGTTCATTCCATTATAGCACTTAAAGTTCAAGAGACTTAATTTTATCTCCTTAATGTGAGGATGTGTGCAATCCCCATATTTTAAGCTAGAATTTTTGTGTGTGTGCAGCAAAAGTCTTATTATAAATTTGCTCCCTTTGAGTGTGTCTGTCTCTGATCCAACCAATCTTGTGTATATGGACTATCATCTATCATGTTCTATTTTTTGTTGATATGTTGAGCATGAAACTAGGTGTTAGTTGCATTATAACAAGCGTTAATTTGTCATATATTTATCCAAGAAATGTATGAGTTTTGCCATATTAAGAGTAAAAATAGTGTAAATTGGATAGGCACTTCACTCCTGCTTATTTCTTTATCGTACCGGTGTAAAGGTTCATTTAAAACTCTTGTTGTTATGTATATTGTTTGTTTAATCTTGGAGTTGGACTTTAAATTAAACAAAGACACTTTTAGTTTTCTGTACTATAAGTTACCAAGCATGTACTAGCAAAAAGCTACTAGCTTTTTGTAAACAATCTGTGATTATAAACAGATGTTTTATGATCTGTACAACATGTCATGCTCTCAAGGATCCAGTTCCAAATTATCGGGCTGGTTATGCTGTGAAATGAATGAATCTGATTCTTGCTGGCATGAATGATATGACGATATGTCTGCTGTGATGAGACAAAAGCAAAGCTACATGTAACACCGTATGTTTTGTTTCTATCTCCATTTTTGCTTTCCTTTTTTACTTTTTTATTTATAGATTTTATGTCTAACTTTAATGTGTGGGAGGAAATACTGCCGTCCATGAAAGCTCAGAATCCAAGCTCTGTCCGTAATTGCTACATCGTGTTCCTCTTTGTATGTTCTCTAGTAGTGGTTATAGAAACTTTTTGTGGATGGACTGCTGATTATTATGAGCCCTTGTCAGCCAACTCATTTTGTCTTCTCCCTGACTTGTTTCCTCTTACAGACCATCCATTTTACACTTTATACTTTGGTCTCCTTTTCCAAGAATTGTCATCTCAGTTTGCATATTAATTTGTCTTTCCATTAACTTGCTTGTCCTACCACTACTGAATAATTTTGCCCATTCCATGCCTGTCTTTTCCCTCCATTTTGCTTCTATTTTATTTTTGTCTCCCCCATTTTTATTATGTTCTTTATTTATTACTAACTAGACTTCCTTCGGAAGATGTTGTGTAATGTTAAATGAAAGATAAATGGAAGTATCGTATATGTTTAAACTATCATTTTTGTTCTCAAACGCAAATTCTGTTTTAAGGACAATTTTAATTTGTCTATCAAATTATTTGTTTGAATTAATTAGGTGATATTTGTGCTGTTCTGAGAACTCCCCTTTAAGGAATTTTTGTTTGTTTGTCTGATTTGACCTTCAGAGGATGTGTATTGAACAAGGTTTTAAGCTGCTTGCCCTAAATCAGGACTTCATTGCACCTGTTCTATGAACACTACATTCAATATGGACTTGAGCTCATGCTTGGTATCTGTTCTTCTAATGAAATAAGTTTACAAAAACTTAACTCTATTTTGTAATAAATGTATGGTAAGTGCTGTACAACTTTGTAAATACATAGAATTAATGGCCTGGTATAGTATTATATTCACAGATCGTGTGTCAGAGGTACACGAATCTGGAGCTTTCATCTTAACTTTTTGTTCTCTCTTAAAAGTAGTATTTATGGTACTTCCCTCGTGCATATTCTTTTCTCTTTGTTTTTTCATGACAGTACAATTTGTTTTGGATGTAGAAGAAAGTGTTAAGGTTGCCCTGCAATAGACTATTTTAAATTTGATATGAAAAAAAAACGTATTACTATATTTGTGCTTTGAGGTATGAGAGGCACGTGACTTAAAATACAATGTACAGACTATGTAATTGTATCTTGTACTTAGTAACAATTATTCTCTTATCAATAAATGATAGTCAATCTTTTCCAGAACTTGCCTGTTATTTGCTCACAAACCCCAATCACCCCTTTTTTGCTCAGTCAGAAAGCTGTTGGTCGGTATAAATCAAAATCAAAACGACATCACATATCATAAATGTGTTTACTTCGGGCCTATATATAAGTAAAACAAAGTCAACACAAAAATTGTGTTTTTCTGTGTGTGTTCTTAATCTGATGTGGTATTATTTTGATTGTTCCTCCCTGCGATTAGAGGTCCTTCCCCAGGCCTTCGCCTGCCCGTGCTGGAGGGGGGAGGCACAGAGGTCAGGTCAGGCCACGCCCCCCAGCCAATGGCGGCGCTGGGCTTCCCTCAGCCGTCTCCAGCCTACCGCCCCTCCACTCCGCCGCTCGTTCGCTCCCCCTCTCTCCCTCTCTCTCTCGTATGGTCGCTCCCTCCACCCTCGTCCTCGGCGGCATGATGTACGATCCGAGCGCCGTTCATGTGGTACAAGGCGAACAACGGCGGTACCGCTGGCATCCGCCTGGAAACGGACCGAACGGACACACGGAGGCGTCCACTAGACTGGAGCGGCGCTGCGGCTGCGAGGCAAGGAGCGGCAAAGGAGCGGCACGGAGTGGGGCGCGACGTCCTCCTCGTCCTCCAGGCCTCCCGGCTGGCCCCTAAACGGTGCAGTAAATGCAGGCTAAATTTCAAAGCCACGGGCGAGGCCTCCCCCC